ATCTACATCCCTAAGCCCTAAACCCTAAACCCTAAAACCCTAAACCCTAAACCCTAAAACCCTAAACCCTAAAACCCTAAACCCTAAACCCTAAAACCCTAAACCCTAAAACCCTAAACCCTAAACCCTAATCTCTAGACATCCTTGTGCATGACTGCAAGGCTCTTCAGCTACCCGGAGCCGGGTCGCGGAAGATGCAATCCCGGTTTAGGGTTTAGGGTTTGGGGGTTTGGGGTTTAGGGTTTAGGGGTTTAGGGTTTAGGGTTCAGGGTTCAGGGTTCAGGGTTTAGGGTTTAGGGGCTTTGAAAACTTGCCTGCCAAGATCGTAGAGGCCAGGGCAGCGCCAATCTGCTGTAGGTTGGAAGCTCTTGCGATGAAGATCATCTTACCCTCCTCCTGTGCCCTGTAAGCTTCGTATCCGCACCAGAGCCTGCAGCACATGTCGGAGTGCGGCGATAACCCAATTCCCTTCAAAACAGAATATACCCGAACTTATAGCAGGCGTGTAATCTAGAGGGTGTTCGTCAATCAATCACTCAAGAGTGCTAAGTTTGCAATGTATGTGCAAACTTGCTTTTTGTCCCTGCCTCGTGTAGATGCTACAGTGGCGGTTGGGCACGACCAAGACGTAGGTGGATGCCTGGAGGCGCCGAGCCATCTAAACCTTCTAAACCCTGTTCTGCATCGCTGGTTCGGGTTTAGGGCTTAGGGAACCCTAATTCTCTAAATCCTATATACCCTAAGCTCCCGAGCGCTTACTGCCCCTAAAACCCTCAATCTGTTCCATACGCCCCCGGACATCTACGTTTTGGCCTGGAGAGCTAATGCAAAAGGCGATCTGCTGGGAGACTGGAGGAGGGCTCCGATGTCCTTGGGTTCTTTCTGGGGCTCTTTCTGGGGCTTTCAATAGGAGGGACCCCTAGAAGGGACCCCTAATCCAGATACCCTATCCAAATACCCTATCCCTTATATACCGTCTCACAAAGCCCCTGTATAACCCCAAGGGTCCCTTTAAGGGTCCCTCCTTTAGTCCCTGGATGATTGCATTAGAGGCTTTAGGGACCCAGGGTTTGCCTTGACGGAGCATAGAGTTTAGGGTGACCCAAGAAGGGTGTGGTCGGGCTGTCTACGGGTTTTTGGACGGTTCGGGAATAGACTACCAGGAAAATGATGTTTACATGCGTTTACAGGTGTCTAAACGCATTTATACGAATCTTGTCAGGGTTGTACAAAAACTTACAGGCTTAATATAGGGGTCAGACTAAACAGATGATCTGCTCCGAACCATTGTCTTAATATGCCCAATGAGTTTCGAGCTTAGGGTCTTTGGTTTCAGGGTTTTTGGGTTAAGAGGGTGTCAGGTGTAGGATTACCCAAGGAAGGGAGTTGCAGGGGTTCAGCGGTGCTTGCAGGAGACATGTCGAGCTCAGAGGAGCTACAACAAGAATGAAGCATATTCCTGTACTATATCTTGTCATTTTCTTGCATATTAACAAGGAAGCTCCTTGATAAGAGCCCAGAAGCTAAGTTCTGAGGGTTCGCAAGCATGCAACACCAGGCATGTCGTGCATCTGCAGGCCAAGAGTGTAAGACCTTCGAGAGGAATTCGAAAACTCCTTCTTGCCAAGCGTGAGAAATAAAGAGGTCGCAGTCCAAACCATCGGGATGTCTCATCAAAGCCCAGCTCACCTTGCCAGCTTCCTCCGTCACAGGCATGATGTGCTGTTGGTTGATTGTGTAGATGCTCGGACCACACTGCTGGTCAACACGGTCAAACTCATCAGAGCCATCCAGCGGAGGCTGGATCTCAGCGGCCTGGATGGCTTGCCAAACTTCCTGCCACAAGTACTGAGCACTAGGGCTTGGTCAGTACAGTGTTCGTATTGGTAGCGGCTCTTTCCACTCTCTCTGTTTCTCCCTCTCTCTCTCTCTAAACTATGTACAGACGCAGGAATTGATGAATTAATATGTATTTATTTGGACTTCCTGCCACAAGTACTTCAGGTCGGCGCGGTTCACGCACCACTTGTCCGGAGCAACAGACTCGTGCAGTGCAAGAGTCTGCCATGTCTGGTACCTTCTGGATCCATGCTGCATTGACATTTTGGATCTCGCCCCATACAGCTCAGACAATTCGGCGAGGCATGTGTCAATAGGTCGGCCGAGATGATTCAGACTTCGACTTTAAGGGTTCTGGGAGGACCGGCTCAAACACACAGGCTTAGACTGGGTGTTCGGTGCGCTTTTCGATTTATGTGTGTAGCTGTAGGGTTTGGGCGTTCAGAGTTCAGGCTTCATTCAACCGCAATAATATCAGGATTACAGTGACGGGTTCCACTGATTCCCTAAACCCTAAAACCCGAGCTTGACACGGCCTGGTGAACCCCCTCCTCCTTGAGCCAGGCATCTTTCCAGCAGTTATGTTAGCACACGTCCTTGCTAAATCCCTTAAAGGCCACACCACAGAGCCTACAGCCTCAACCCTGAAGGAGTCAACTCCTCAGGGCCTAGCACACATGATGCAACCTTGGTGGAACTCTTTAACCCTGAGCCTCCGATCTGTACGAATCTTCCGACTCCTCTATAGTATTTGTCGGTGAGCACATCGCATCCCTGTCCCGGCTCCTTGGCCATCTCCAGCAAGACCTCCATAAAGAGGCAACCGAGGGGTACGTCATCACTGTTGCAGGGGATCTTGTGTGTTACGGCGGCTTTGGTCCTCCTTCAAACACACCAAAACGCCCCAATCCTGGACTCAAGCATGAACTCCAAACCTAAACGCTTCAACCTTTCACCCGAAAGCCTGAAGCCATAAGTGCTAAGCCAGTCGCGGCCCAACTCCCTGCACAACTTACCCGATACCGCCGATACTCTTCACTATACCCCAAGAATGATAGAGGCAGTCACAATACTATCCAGGATGTATCGCGTAGTTGCGAAACTTCCGAGATATGATATTGCGCTCCCTTAACCCTAAACCCTAACAGCCCTAAGCCCGAAACCCTATCTAATCTCACAGGCTGACGGCCGACAAGCCCTGAAACCATCGTCCAACAAGCCTTGTTTGTATCGGGTGAAAGACAGTTCTGACTTCCATATGGGGGTTTCCGAAAATAGGGGGTACCTTATTCTGGGTTCCTTATAATACGGATCCTACTATTTGGGGTACTATATTAGGGTCCCTATTTTCGGAAACCCCCGTATCCCTGCGCTTTAAGAGGCTGTTCGAGTTAAGGTCGAAGCACAAACCGCCAAGCCCCATAGGCTCGAAACCTACATGAAGCCCCTCGAGTCCCGAAGAGTCCAACCCTGCAACTCGAATCTTAAGCTCCGAGCCTTACCTTTTGTCACAGCTTTGAATCCGAAGCGAGGGGTACCCGAAATGGTTTGCTCGGTTTGGGGTTTCAATGTACAAATTCCGTTTACCGCCCTGCGGTAGAAACGCCTCAATCGAGCCAGTAACGTTGCCCTGGCGTGCAAAGGCATTGACCAGGGCCGTGTAAGTGACGACGTTGGCCTTCAGGTTTAAGAGGAGTATATGGGTCTTAGTAAGGATCGGAGGTTGCAAGGTTTTTCCGGATGTTTCAACGGTTTGCTCAATTTCGGGCTATCTTATTGAGAGATTTGTAGCCATAACCAGGATTCTGTTGTCAATATGCAGACATAGACGCGTATACAGGGACCTGAGAGTCACATTCCCGGATTAAACATAATACAAACTCAGTCGCTCTCTCTTTCTCTCGCTCGCTGTGTCCTTCTTGACCCACCGTTTGTTCGACGGAATGCACACTCTCTCTGTCCCTCGGTCTCTATACATAAACCCTTTTACACCTAACCCTAAACCCTAAACCCTACGGAGAGGCACACCCAACAAGGTTGACGGTTACAACCTCGGCTCACTGGTCTAACCTGCCCCTCAAAGAAGGCACACTCTGCACATCGAGCTGCCTCGCAGAATACCTAGTAATCGGGGTTGTATCTGACTATGGGAGTAATGAGTAGTCACACAACAGGTGAGACTCCAAAACTAATTAGCTGGTCGCCTAAGCTGCTCAGCTCGAAAAAAACTTACTGCGGAATCGAGTCGCTTCCAATGGTCACAAAGGACTGGAAAACTCTTGTTCCGGGAGGTCAGAACGGCATGGTGTGATGTGGTGTTTTATGAAAAGCATACGCTGCCCAACAAAAGGACCAATCAAACACCTTCCACCGATACTAACTACCAAGGAGCCCCATAAACGCCTGCCCAAAACGCTGAAAACTCATACAGAGCCCGCCCTAAACCCTACATCAACCTCGCTAGATCCCGTCCTACAAACCCTCATGGGATCCTAGAGTTGCAGGACCATGTTCTCAGATGAACTGAAGTAGGGGCCTTCAGCCCACGCGAGACCATTTCCCGGAACCTGAGGCTAGGGTTTGGGGTTTAGGGCTTTTAGAGGTCTTCGATTGGTTCCCCTACCGGCCTTACGCATCAGAATAAGTCTTAGCGTCTATTGCATGATATGACTATCCGGGGACTTTAAAGGGATATGGTTGATTCAAACCCCGGAATTAGCCAGAGCCCTCGTTCAAACCACATCGCATATATGCCAGGAGTCCTACCATGAAAAAAACAAGCAAAATGTTTCGATAACGCCCGGCAGAAACCTTGTTGTAACATGCCTATACAATCGGTCTAGGAACCTTATAACAACCCTATAGAACCCATGCCAAAGACTTCACGAGAACCTATAGAACCCCAAGAACCTGCTTGAAGCCGATCTAGGCCCTAGGCTGGAGTTAGTTCCTAAGCTTCAAACGCAAGCAGCCCTGGCCACAAAATAAACAAAGGCTTAAACACGGGCATATCATCCAGCGAGCCGACTTGGAACAACCCCCAGAGTATGATCCTTTGTCCATCCCAATATACGGCTTCTGGACCATCTAAAATCCCAAACCCCCAAAACATAAGATCTCGAAACGGAATCCCCAGTTGACCAGGCGGCTACGCATCCCCCTTAAACGATCTAAGAACCCCAACAAGGTATCAACCCATAGCTATATGGATTAGGACCAAGACTTCCTTTAGTACTTCTGCTTCGCAGGTTCTTCCGCGGGTCTGGGCAGTTTTCTATTTGGGCGGGTGTAGGGTAATCGGGTTTACGGCTCGGGGTGATGCAAAGATGCAGCCCGCGAGTAGGTTGAAAGAAGTCTCGCCCTTTGGGGTTTCGGGTGTAGCTTAACCTACCAGAACCTACTTTTTTGTAGGGTCCCTATACATCCCATATAAGGGTTTCGAATAAGAACCTACAAAAAAGTGGGTTTTGGCAGGTTAAGGTCAGGTTCAAGGGTGCCGGGCTCACTACCCGAACAGTGTTGCACACACCACGGGGTTCTTACGTTTGGAGTAGCGAGAGTTTCTTGGCACGCGCTGCTCGAAGTTAATCCGTGACGTGGCTCCCGCTGAGGTGCGGTGCGTAGTTTGGTTCAAGCTCTCTCTCCCTGTGCCGTTGCATCCAGAGGGAGTTCATGTCCTATCGTTTACACAGGATCCGTGTGGCCGTGTCCCTCGCAAACCTAAAACGATTGAACCAAGCCCTAAACAGCTGAAGCACAAATTCTGATTTCTTGAATCAGCGGAATACCACAAACCCTACGTTTTGGGGCCCACGAGGCTCATAGCTGTCATGTCTTCTGGGTTTGTGACTTCCAGGCAAACTTTGCGAGCAGGTTGCAGTGCAGACGCCTCCGCAGCATCACCGGCCTGCGGATTAAGGCGGCCGTACAGGGTTCATGGGGTTCAATGCGGGGCAGCAACTGGAACAGATTTGGGGGCTACAATATAGTAGAAGTATATTCGGATTAGCAGGTGATCCGTTATTCTAGCCTCCCCATTGCGCGCGACGGGATGAGGACTTTGTAAGTCGGTTCTGCCTGCGGCCATACATACCCGACATACCCCAATGCCTACTTACGAAAATTTGCCTCAAATCTTGCGAAGTCCGGTAAACCGCTGGCAGGGCACGAGTGCTCGTGTTTCATGCAATTCGGTCCTGTTCTCAGATCGGGTTGCGGGCTTCGCTTTGGAAGCCGGGCCGGATGTGGATCCAGTGTGCTGAATCGGTGTTAACTGTTATGATGAAGCGATCGTGGCTCTAATGGAGCCATTATCACAAGTAGAAGAGCACAGTATACACATGAGACTCTTACATCTACCTTCTCAGCTTCAATATTGGGGCTTGTGACAGAAGAGTCTTCGATCTAGGGCACCCCTGCAGAGCACAAGCTACCGTAGTCGGGTTACAGTTTCCTTACTATGGTAGCTACAATTAACTTCCTTGACACGACCCCGATAAGACGGTGCTGGGATTGGAGGAACCTTTAGCTTGCTGAGACACGAAACTACACTGGCCCTTGAGAACAGATTTGGGTCGAGGACTCGGTTTTAACAAAGGAGTCAAGAATTTCAGCGGGTTTTAAATTCAGAGTTTGAGCTTAAAGCCTCTTGACTGCATGTCAGCTGGTTGATAGCTCCGTCCTGTTCCGTACCCGTTGCTTTGGGTGTTGTAGCGCTTGTGAGGAAAAGCTCCCAATAGATTACGGTTACGTGTGCAAACCTAACACTCTGGCAGTCTTTTGAACATGCTGTGATCACTGAAGCTTTCCACGTCAGAGGTCGTCTTTGCGGCGTAAGCGCTCAGCATGACGCTGCACGAGAGAAACCCCCGTAGGTGCCACCGTTGGGAGCAACTCGAAGCGGTCCACACGTGGAAATGCTTCATCTGGAACGGGCTTGTCCTTTCAGCCCAATACACTGGCCCCAAAAAAGTTCAAACTTTTCTTTTAGTAGGGGTTTAATATTCCAAAAAAGCTTAAAGTTTACCTATTGGGCTCCAGAGTCCAAGAAGTCGCACAAAGGTGTCCAGCCATCTGAGAGGTTGAAGACGAGGAGGCGCTCTTTGGGAATGGTACGGAAGACCTTCTCCTGTCTTCCCCAATACCCAAGGAAACTGAGTCTCAATGGAGAGTAGTGCTAACTCATAAAGCGCCCAAAACGTCGCAATTTTGAAAGCGGCACGTGCTGACTTCTAGGAAGCCCGAAAAAGTTAAAAATAGGCAGTGGAGGACGGGAGAGCGACGACGCCTTCATGCGACAATTGTAAGAACCCTAACTTGTGAACCCGGAGAAAACTGATGCTGGCAATGAAAACTCAGATCCCTTACAAGGATCCAAAGCCCTCAACCCTAAAACTCTAACCTCCGACTTCCCAAACCCTCAACGAAGTGCCCTGAACCCTTTCAACCCGGGATCTCTCAACCTAAACCCTAAACCCCTAGACTGTAAACCAGAGCCCAGGCACTTTGTGTTGTTGAAATCCTTTCAAACATCGCGCCCGGACCTCTGGATCCTTGCGATCGTCCTGGGTTTACGCAGCCCTGTCTCTGCGGTTTAGGGGCATGCCGAACGGGTAACTAGGCTCCGCTGCAAGAGACGACCTACAATCAGCAGATACCTTACACCGCGAAGTCTACCGCGGAGAGCACTCAGCTGGACCTGTGCGGAAGGGCCTTCGGGCTTCTTCCACAGCAAAGCAAAACTGTTTCAGCTTCAGGGCGTTTTTTTCCCTGGCATTTTGAACTATTCCTTTCTGTTTTCGGTTGACCAGCAGCATCTTGGCTTTGGGATTTACGGTAATATGATGAAGCAACGGATGTTTTAAAACACAGGATAAAGCAGCATAAGATAAGGTATGAGCTGTAATACACCGTTATGCAATACGGTATAATTCAACATTGCAGACTACCACTAAGTACACTGTTGTACCAAAATGAACCGTCACAAGATATGTTACAAACTAACACAACACAGAACACTATAAGATACCAGAACATAACACAATGCACTACAATGTCACAAAACATAAAAGCATAACCTCATACAATAAGCGGTCTGCAAACGTGATAAAACAAAACGACACATAACACCACGTCGCATGCTATACAGTGAAATACTATAACACAAAATGATACTACAAAACTTATGACTTAACCGCTGCACTGTGCTATAGTTGAGTGAAATATAACTTGATATCTGACCACAGCGGTTACAGGATAACTCAACAGAACAAGTTCTAATAGTCATGATATGATAAGATATAGAATATGTTGAAATAACATAAGAAGACATGATATAGTAAACCAGAAGCACCTTAAGCCTTATTGAACAGTATGCTAGTCAACCATGTAAAGTTTGTTGGAATACAGACCATATAACTGAACAATTATACGTCACGCTTCGATATAATAAGATATAGTCCAAAATAACACACTATGACTCAATGCTACGTTCGTTTTATTATAACAGAACATATTAGTTAGCATAGTACAGTATCCTTTGACATGTGGCAATACACGGCGATTTACGATATGACTATGCTACAATGAATAAAAATATTTATGACATAATGCAATTTGACACAAATTTTGCTGTATAGTGAAAATATTTATGAAAAAACAATCACCAATATATTTGTAAACATGTACACAGATGCATTGTGTGTATATATATATATGTATAAACATGTGTACATGCACGTGTTGTTGTCATAGTGCGGTACAATATAGCATAGCATACAAGTACTTTTTTAGCATATAGCATCATACAAATTAACATCATACAACATGACAGGAGTAGAACAGACTGGAAAGATAGACCGGAGACTACTGCTACTACTACTACTACTACTACTACTACTACTACTCTTCACCTGCGACCGGGCAAGCCAGACAACTCAGAGCGTTTACAACAGGTATGATAACAACAGCTGGCATACTACTACTACTACTACTACTACTACTACTACTACTACGCATAAACCCCGAAGCCTCAATTGCAGCCCAGGCGCCATGTTCTCAAATCGGCAGCCCCATGCATGGACAGAGTTGCATTCCCAAAACTCTGTCTGAAACCCTGGCTTCATCTTGTCTACGTCATTGGGGTTCTCTGTCGCATTTTGTCCGGCCTGTCTGTGCGATGTCTTGCCATCCGATCAAGGAGAGAAGTGGGTTCGGGTAGTTGCTACTAGTCGTACCATATTTACTACTACTAATACTATTAAGCAGCTTATATTGGTACTATGATTGTTATGAGTATGATTAGTATGATTTTTATTGCTATTCATGTTCTTACGATTTCTTACAGATTTTCCCGCTAGTCAGGGTTTAGGGCTTGAGGCTTTGATGTTTCGACTCTCGTGCTCGCGTTGGGGCGTACTTGGAGGTTCATGGGACTTAGTAAGTAAGGTTATAAGTCCCTTAATTGGGATTATAAGTATAGTTACCCTAATTACTAAGTCCCACGATCCAAGTAGGGTTTGGGGTTATTCGGGAGTTGGGTTCAGGCCCTGGTGCTGTGCTCCTGTTTCAACCCCACAGAAAAAGTCGTTCGGGTCATGTCGGGGCCTTAATGATTTCAATAGGGTTTGGGGGAATCTTAAACTATAATGATCATAGGGAACCCCCAGAATAGTATTCTTCACTTCACTTCACTTCACTTTCACTTTCAAGGCACAGAGTCCGCGTCGGACGCAGCCTAGCATGCAAAATAGTATTGGTAACTATCTAGGCCTACATTCTTAAATTATAATGATAATAGGAAACCCCAAAATAGTATTGGTAATGATTTAGGCCCCATGCATTATCCCTTGAGTCCTTGGCTTTTTGTAAAGCCACCATGCGATTCATGGGCTCTTTGACATGGAGAACCGGAGGAGCGTGATGGTCAATGGAACCGTAATACCTTGCGTGTCCGGCTTCCTTTAGGGTTTAGGGAATTAGATTAAGGGTTCGCCTTCGGGATAGGATAATCATGGTGTTTATGGCCCCAAAAAGCTAAAGTTTGCCTGCTCTACTGCGAGGATGCCCATGAGGGAGGTGATCGTAGAAGTTGCAGTAGCTGTCATACCATGTGTCGGGATCCGCGAGAGTGTATACAAACTTTGCGTCCGGAATTGTGCGCAAAACTTCCTCATAGAGGAGGTGGAACGGCTCGTCCATGGCTCCTTCAAACCCCTGAAGCAACTCTGCTGGATAAGGAACGCCTTTCTCCATGAGGTATTGGCAGAAAGGGATGCGGAAGCCAGCGTAGTATCCGCTCCACCTGGGTTGCTTAAGGGCCCGGGGCCCTCCAATCAAAAGCAGGTACCTCCATCGGACCACAAGCTATGTCGGATAAAGCCTGCCAAGCTGTGTCAGTTAAGCATTCCCGAGAAGCTTTTTTCGCAAAGGCTCCAGAAAAGGTTCTTATGACACTTAAATATATGTATATACCACAGCAAAGGGTAGCTCCAGAAAAGGTTCTTATGACACTCAAATATATGTATATACCACAGCAAAGGTAGCTCCAGAAAAGATTCTTATGACACTTAAACATATGTATATACCACAGCAAAGGTAGCTCCAGAAAAGATTCTCATGACACTTAAACATATGTATATCCCACAGTGAATCTGACTGCCACCCGGCCACAAGGTGTTGAGGCCAAGCGTCTTCAAGGCCGTCCACATGCTCTGCCTCAATGCCCCAAGAGTTTTCAGAAAGTGAGACTTCAAGTTAACAGAACCCCCCCCAAACTGAAGGTTAAGCATTGGAGAACCAAGATCCATTAGGGAACCTGCAGGGTGACCTTTCCTAACTTGAACTCACTAACGCGGACACTGAAATAGCAAATTCCCTTGCTTTAGCCAGCGTTGTAATATGGATCCGAAATTAAAGCCCTGGAAGAAAGACTGTGCTAACCGTGCAATGACTCTGCCAGATACCCGTTGCAAAACCCTTAATCATAACTCTTGTAGAAACCCCGTCTACCCCTTGACGCTTGAACCACCCTTCGGCATCCGTTTCGGCAGAGTTGCGTGCCCGTGCGTGGAGCGCCTACATCAAGAACGAACTCCGCCACGGATCGATGCAAAGATGCTGCGAGGCATAGTCGGAACATGGACATCCTGAGTTGTACATCAGAGCGACTAGGGTTTACAGGCCTGAGGCTTGTAGGAATTATGGTACATCCGGGCTATGATTTAAGGCCTCCCGGAAGTAGGTACCTCTAACTTTCAGACCATCAGGGCCTGGAGAGAAAAAGTATCCTTACCCCTAAACTCTAAGCCCACAAACCCCAAACCCTAAACCCAATCTGGCAAGGAGCATCTTCTGGTATGAAGGCGGCCACCTTTAGGTTTTGAAAGGCGGCCTTAAAGGAGATCTCGGCCGAATGCTTGAGCCAAGAGACTCGGAAACCTACCTTTTACAGGTTTAGGCTTTGGGAGGAGGATTTAGGGTTCAGGGTTTAGGGGTTTGGGGCTTAGGGATTTAGGGTTCAGGGCCTAGGGAGTTGAAGGTAGGGGTTTGGGCTTCACGGCTGAGGGTTGTGCAGCTCAGGTTTCTCAGATCCCTTCAAGGATCCAACCAAGATAGTGCCCTTTGTTGGTGACACATGCCTTGTCTTAACCCACGTAGACCCCAAAGAAGCTACCCTTTTAAGGACTTATTAAGAAATCATAATAAGGAGCCCTACAAAGGTAGGTTTTATAGGGTCCAGGCAGATAATGATAGGCTATCTGTGTGGGGGCTCCCGTGGTTTTCCTCAGATCCTTCCGAGGGGTCTGAGTAACCTAGTTACAGCCTTTTGTCTTTGTAGGGGCTTCCCTCTGCTGAAAGAAGTTTCAGGGTTTAGGGTTTGGGGGCTCTTTGTTGTGGCTCTGTGCAGAAACTGGCTGTTAAAGGCGTTGTGCAGGGTCTTTAAAAGGGCTTTCCGGGCTTGACTTTCCGTAATAGGGAATGCATGCCATCACCAGATGCTATCCCTGAACCTTGACTCGCTCTTGCACCCTTGCAGATACGAGACTCCCGGCTAGAAGAGGAACGTCATGATGTGCGAACAACTACATTGCGACATAGACCCAGGCACTGAAATCCTGCGTGTCGGGACATTCGGCAAACAAAAGACCTCCAGTTTAGCACCAGAGATACTAGGACAATATAGAAGCCTCAATGGTGAGGATTGGCTGTTCAGGTGGACTGTACTACTTTTATGACGAGGAGCCCTTTGGGGTAGCATGATTAAGTATTCCGACTTCTGTATTGCTTGACACCCATGACGACCTCACCACATGGGACCCCACAGTTCAAGGTATCCCCATTCTCCAAGGTGCCGACTTCCAACTATTTAGATAGGGAGTATACTTCAAACTATACGGGGCTTAATCTTGTGTTTTGTCGTCTATTTCTTAACATAGGGTACTGTGCTCTCCGGGTTTCGAATCGTCATGGAGCTTGGTTTCACCCAAACCTGACGGCGACTTCCTGGCGCTTGGCTGAGATAATTACTCTCAGTGTCGTGTCCCGACATGTTATGCAAAACTGAAACTGAAGCCAACTGTAACTACTAGAACCCAGGAGCAGTCATCAAACCAAATTGTGTGCTCAGCGCAGCTCCCGACTAAACAGCAAGTGAGCCAAGCTTCGGCCTGACCCTAACTCTATAGCCTTTGCCCTTTCTCAGGCACCGGGTCTACATAGGCTTTGGGGTGTTGAGGGCTGAAGGATGGTCTGACGGGATATGTGAGGCTTGAGAAACCTAGAAGTTTGCATGCTACAGCATCGGCCTTCCCAGCAACGTTGACCAAAGAGGAGTAGGTGACAGAATCTGGACAAAGCCGCCTGGAGGCAGTGGGAGTTTGTGCTTGCTACAGTGCTACAGCTAGCCTGGAGGACTTGCAGCAGGGGCAGCGGCATTAGCGCGTTGGTGCCAAACTGTCATGGCGTGTTGCTATTATTGTTGTTAAATGATGCTCTTACTGTTCATTCCGTGAAGTTATCCTAATCTTTCTGTGCCACGCAAAAATGCCTATACTGCTGCTGCTTCTGCTGCTGACCCCTCTCGTACTCCTATACCTGCTCCTGCTACTGCTACAGCTGCTCCTACGACGACGTCGAGCACTATCGTGCCACTACTGCAAGTTCTTCACCGGCCTTTCTTCCATCTCTCGCAAGAGGTTCCTTGCTGCGCCGAGATCTCCTGGCCGCCGCAGGCCCAATCAATGAGAACGGCTACTTGGAGGATCGTGGGACTTAGTAAGTAGGGTTATAATTAGGGTAACTATACTTATCACCCCAATTAAGGGACTTATAGCCTTACTTACTAAGTCCCATGATCCTCCAGGTATTTTGCCTCCTGCTTTGATTGACTGGGTCTCCAGTACTGAGGTCAAGATTAGTGGAGCCTAAGCTATGCTGAGCAAATCCAGCTGATGAACACACCTCGGGCATCAGCTGTCAGCGGCACTGCTCCAGGAAATGGCAAGATTTCAAGAAGCAGTACTTCATCGGTTAAGTCTCCACAGAATGCCGATAGGTGGGATTTCACAAGTTATAAACTAGAGCGGTAGTCTCAGTATCTTCTGTGGCCCAGTCCTTGCAACGCATATCCGTTGATGAGTATGCTATACCTCGGAGATGCAGGACCCAGTCAGGCGCAAGTTGCATCCAGTGACAACGCGTGGTCACGAAGGCGAAATAAATCAGTACCAGCAGCATCAAGGCTTGCGAGCGGAACGGCGATATGAACAAGAGATGTCTGAATTTAACGCCTTCCATTGCCTTCTCACGTGCTGTCCACCCGTCCTATTAGACTTTCCCTCAAACCCTAAACCCTGTACCATCCTAAACCTTGAACGCTAAGTACCGAAACCTTTTGAACCCGGAGCTCTCTCCAATACCGAAACCTGATACCTAAACTGACCTAAACTCACGTAAAACCCTAAACCCTAAACCCTAAACCCTCACCTAAAATGCAGGCAGGCTGCGGAATGGCGCTGAGGTCATTACCTGCGACGGAGCCATGGTTGGGCTTTGTACGATCAGACCCTTCAGCCTGAAGGGTCAAAGGGTAATATAGGGGCCTTGGTAATTAGAATAGGGTTTTGGGGTTCCTGTAAAGGGTTCCTTTTTAAAGGGTTCTATAAGGGCTACTATAAGGGTTTAGGCTTGAGGGTGCCTTCATAAGTAGAATAGGGTCTTGGGGGTTCCTTTAGAGGGTTCCTTTAAAGGGTTCTATAAGGGCTACTATAAGGGTTCAGGGGCCTTAATAATTAGAATAGGGTTTTGGGGCCCTTTATACTACCCTGATAATAAGGAACCCCCCAACATAATGTAGGTAAGCATTTAGGCCCCTATAGTGCCCCAAGTGTTCCTGTAAGGATGCCATAAGGGTTCAGCTATTAAGGCTCTCCCACCAAGGCAAAAGGTACGCCTCTCGGGGAAGAGCAGCAACCTCGAGCTGAATAATCTTCAGGCGTATGAAATGAAACGTTTTGTGGTGAACCCTAAACCTTACGACGTTTTGGTTGTGTCGTTGAATGAAATCGGACAGGTTTTTGCTGCGGTGAAACGGCTGTGACAGGACAGCGCAGGAAATAACGATTTCAGGCGTTGCTGTTGTTAGGTGTCTGCCCAAAATCAAAGTTTAAACATGTTCACGTCACCAAACTTCGGCTACTACTGCGTTTACCACGTAGCAGATAGCAGCAGCGGCAGCTGCAGCAGCTGCAGTGGAAGTAATAGTAGCAGCAGCTGCTCCGCGTCGTCGTAGTCGTGTAGTAGACTAGTGATAGTGGTAGTAGTCGTCGTCGTCGTAGTCGTCGTCGCAGTACTGTAGCAGTAGTAGTCTTCGTCGTTGTGGTGCTGGTGGTGGTCATCGTCGTAGAAGCAGCAGCAGCAGAAGCGGTAGCAGCAGCAATAGCAGCAGCAGCAGTAGGAGTAGGAGTAGGGGTAGGCTGTGGAGTCAAGTCGAAGTGGAGCGAGTAGGAGCAGCAGCAGTGGCCGCGGTGGCAGCGGCAGTAGCACTAGTGGCAGCAATAGCAGCGGCAGCACTAGTCGCAGTCGTAGTAGGAGTCATAGTTGGAGTAGCAGCAATGTCTAGTAGGCGCAGTCGTAGTCGCTGTCTTCGAATGCTTCCTTCTTCGATATGCCCTTGTATGCTGCACAAGGTTTCGGCTGCCATGGAAAACCGCACAACGTACATAAGCCCTAGGCCTGAACCCCTACCTCCTACAGTTCTCCGCCGCGCCTTGGTGCTGGAGCAGATGTCGAAACCAAACTTCGGCTCTGGAAAGAAGCTTGGCTTTGACCTCAAGTCTTCAGCTGAGGGTGCAGGCTATGGGGTTTGGGTTTAGGGTTTAGGGTTTAGGGTTAAGTCTTCAGTTGAGGGTGCACGCGATGGGGTTTGGGGATTTAAGGTGAAGTTGATGGCTTCGGGTTGCGGGCTTTGGGAGCCATTCGATTTGAGGGTTTAGGTCCACGGCCTCGGATGCTCCACGAATGGTTTAGGGATTGGTGGTTTAGGGTTTCCTAGAAACTCCAATACCCCTTAATTAAGGAATATACCTTAAATCATAATATTAAGGCCCCTAAAATTTAAGGTATATTCCTTAATTAAGGGGTATTGGGCTCTCTGGGTTAGGGTTGGGCGCACGAGTGACAGTCGTGGAAGCTGTCTGCACAGCTGGAGCCCCCGGATCCGGAACCCCTACATCCTACCCCTGACCCGTAAAGCCCCGCCCTGAACCCTAAACCCTTCCAAAGCTTGGGTTATGCACAATATAGGGGCCTCAATACTTAGAATAGGGTTTTTGGGTATATTGTACTATAATTATAACAAAGAGCCCCACAAAATAGTATAGGTAGTTATTTAAGCCCTAAAGCCTCGAAGCCCTAAACTCGCGTGGCATACTCACGTCAAGCTGCACAGGCGTCCATGGCTGTAGTGTAGCT